GTCAACTCACATTTGTTGGCCAAACACTGTGAAACACACAGCACATAATAAATACCACTTGTAGAATAACAGCAAGCTGGCGGACTTCAATGACCCACCACAAAGCCAAGCTCCGATGGATATGCAAGTAATTACATAGCATAATTCTCAGGGTAAGAAGGACATACTGAGAGAAGTTCTGTTAGAATTACTGTTCACATGAAGAGCAATGACTATTTTATAAGACTAAACTTAAAGTTTTTATTATGGAATGACAGATCTTCATATGGTCAAAATATCTTTCCTAATTATAAGTCACCTAACTTCAAATGCCTCTATGAGCAAAACCTTTTAGAATCTAGATAATGACTTCAAACTCAGCATTTTAAAGAATAAACCTACTATCATTTGTGTCAAAATTAATTCTTTCTGATGCCTTTCTTTCTTCCAATGAACACACATTTATTATCCAAGTCACTCAGGCACCTGAATTGTATCATCTTTGGTTCTTGGTCTTGCTCATTCTCTCAGGATCATTCACTAAGTTCACCTGAAAGTTATATTCTCTTTTGAAGCCATCTCTTTGTTAAAAATAAAATAAAATCAGCCATTAGATTATGGCCTGACTAGCTCATGCTTGAAAAGACCCTTCAGTATTCTGTTAATCCTCAGACTTCTCACCAAACTCAAGGGCTGAGTCTTAGAATTTTCAAGCCCCATCTACGCCCGGATGTATGACCCTAATGAATCATGCTGCCTCTGTAGATGTCAGTTTCCTGTTACTGCTGTGTAACAAATTACGACAGGCCTATGCCTTAAAGCAACACACATTTATGATCTCATAATTTCTGTGGGTTAGGAACCCAGGTAGGGCTTAGTCTCGTCATCTGCTTGGAGTGACTGGGCAAAATCAAGGTGGTTGGCTGGGGCCATAATTTCTATCTGAGGAACTCTTCATGTTCACCAATCCTTAGCAAATTCATTTATCTGAGGCTGTATGTCTGAGGTCCCCATTTTCTCACTAGCTGTCACTCAGGGACTGCTTGCAGGTCCTAGAAGTCACCTCAGTTCTCTGCCACGTGGCCACCATAAGCAGTTTTCACCATAGCTGTTAGTTTCCTTCTAGGTCAGGAAAATAATGTCTATGACTCTACCCTTCTTAAAGACCTCACTTCATTACATCAGGCCCACCCTTGATAATCTCCTTTGATGGTATTAAAAGGGACCCCCAGGGAGCACATTCCAAGCAGTGATATCACATCATATTCACAATTCCCTTCACTCAAAGGGAAGGGTTCACACAAGGGTGTGGGTCACTGAGGCTTATCATAGAATTCTGCTTAAAATGTTAATGTAAAAGCTAGTTAGCTGGCAAAGAAAATCTAAAGATTTTTCTGTAGTCAATGTTCAAACTACGAGTAACTAAACGTATACTAGAATGAAAAGTTTAATGGATGTGCAAGCTCTCGGGGAGCTGACAGACTTCGAAAGGCAACGCACATCTTTTCTCAGACTACATGGCAGATATTCAGACTTCCTTGCTATGCAGGAGATTAAAGACTATAGTAAAACTACCTGTGGTTTTGGATGCAGAGCTGCCCAGAGGCACCAAAGGGATTTCCTCGGTAAGACTCAGAGAGAGAAGAAAAAAGCACAGAGTTGGATAAAATTATTGTTTCATGCTATTGTTTTTAAAGCTTATAGAAAAAAAAAAGTCTCACTATTGCCTATAGAGTAAATTTCAAACCTCTTTGTCTGGAATAAAAGATCTTTGATAGCATAACTGCATCCTGCCTCCTCATTTTCCTCCCATGCCTGTATCACTTACAGTTTTGTGGTTATTTCAATCACACGTGGTTACTCGGCATAGATACATGAAGTTCCTTTCTTCAGAATGTTCTACCATCCACTCTTATCCCCAACCCATATGGTGAACTCCATTCATTATTGAACACCCATTTTCTCAATAATCAGCTATTGACTGAGTGCCTGCATCCATCAGTGAACCGCTGAACCTTCACCTCTTCCACAAGGAGGACTGATATCTGCTGCTTTTGTACAAAACTGTCGCCAGTTCAAATATCTGTGCCTGCTAGATCTTATGTTTTTATGTCCATTCCCCAGTTGTGAAAACCTTGAAGGAATATTTTTGTCTTATTTATTTATATTTCTAGGACGGACTATGTCGGGAATTGGTGCAATTCATTAATCATGGTTTGCTGAAAACAGTAATAACCATGATAGTGATAATAGTATCTAAAATATATGTAGCGACTCCAAGAACTCTAAACATACTTCTTATGTATTATTTTACACAAAATCCTGGCAACGGCACTTTGAGGCAAGCGTTATCCCTATTTTACAGATGAGAAAACGAAAGCTCAGAGACAGAGGAAGGACTTCTTAGAGATGACCGATGTTCCTCATTTCACATTCTCTATGCCAATATGGTCGCCAAACAGGAGCATCAATATGGCCCACACATTTAACACGGTGCTAAAAATTCACATTTTCAGGCTGTAACCCAACCTACTCAACCAGAAAATCTACAACCAAGGCTCTATAATCTGATATTCAACGAACCCTGCATGTAATGATGATGCCTACTAAAGTTTGAGAACCACTGCTCTATAATCCAGTAAGGACATGTGCTGGCCAAGAAAATGTGATAAGCTCGTACTTTTGAGCAACTTGGATACACGTAATGTAACAGATAGTGATAGAGAAGAGATAAAGATCTGTATAAACATTTCTCTTTATAGAAAAATATTCTCCATAATTTGTTTTATAACCTCAAAGACATCTGAAACATCTCCGGGTCAATGTTCTTGGTTTATTTGTTTGGGCCTTCACTCACGCACCATAGACTACTGTGAAACTGGGAGGCATTTTAACAATCTCTGATTGAATCGAATTGGATTGGATTCAATTAGCCTATCTTTTCCCTTTGCTCTGCACTAGGGATTGTCTTTTTTAAAAGTGTCAAGTGATATTACAGTAAAAACAGTTAAATGGTATTAGGAAGTCCAATTTTCATCTCTGAAAAGACAAGATAGTGCAAGACAAGGTAGTGCACTCTTTCCAGGGAGGAGTGTTTGCTGAAGGGGCTGCGGAGTGAAAATTCACTTAGCATACCTGGAGGACAGCAGCCATGATGATGCGGCATTCGATGCAGGAGGCGCTATCTAACTGCATATATATACTCATAAAGATATATATATATATATGTGTGTAGATATATATATACACACACATACTTATAAAGATACATATGTATATATACACTTACAAAGATATATATACACTTATAAACATGAACTTTATACCACTCAGGAAGTTCACCTCCTGGCTAGGAAGACAAACTACATAAAAGCATGTAAAAGATTAATAAATTACAAAAAAGCTATACAAATGAAAGCAAGCGTAGAGATAATAAATGCTCTGTAAATGTTTGTGCATTGAAGCACATAGAAAGAAAATACGTGAGTTCTCAATAGAGTGTAGAATCATATACTGATTCTGCATACGTTTTTGTCTTAATTTTCATTTTAGTCTTGATTGAGATGATTTTTAAAAGTGGTGGTTAGAGAATTAAATTTTTCATGTTTTTAACATATGAACAATAATCTTCCCTCTCTTCGCAAATATATGAACAAACCTGTTTGGCATATAAGACAGAGATCAAATTTTTCAAAAATTAAGTTATTTAATAAAACATTTGCATTCATCATGGGTTTAGTATGAGGTTACAATGTAAAAAAAATTAATTAATATTAACTACTTAATGTTAGAGTCTATGACTCTCCTGAGGATGCAAGAGAAAAAGACTCTTGTAACACAAAATACTAAGAAATTGAGAACTGACTAACCAACTAACTAGTTGTATCAGAATTAAGAAAAGGAAACATATAGGTAATAAAATGACTCATTAAGGGAAAGTGTTTAAGAACTGCATTCTAGGAAAAACCAACACCTTCACACAAAAGGACATATGTGATGTGTAAGAGTTCACTGCCTACAAAATTCTTATAGGTTACAGAAAGCAGATTTTAAATTTATTTGAAAGTTTAGGGCTTGCCGTCAAAAGTGCTTCAACAGAAAGGTGCCTGGATGAGATTCTTGCCTTAGCAAGATACTTCTGGATGCAGGGTTAAAGGTTCATTAAGGAAAGATCTATCCAAGTCCAGAAATGTCTAAACACACATATCCTATAGGCAGAACTAGAATATATTACTGAGTCTTGACAGAATATAAGAATCAGATTAAAAAGTAACCTCAAATTTAATTTAGTATGGTGTCTAACTTGTGTCTTGGGACTTATCTTTTATTATTGATCCAATAATGTCTGTTTATTAAAAGTTCTAAGGCACAGGTAGTGATTAGGGTTAAATTATAGATAAGGAATTTGGAGATAAATGTAGAGTATTTAAAATGGAAAATAGACAACATAGTTTAATAGACTACAATCTTACAATTTCTCAGAAATATACGCAATCCTATCTCCTGGGCCTGCATGTCCATTACTAAAAATTAAAAGATTCATGATATAAGGTGTTAGAATTGTACGTTAAAATAACAAATGGTTTGCATAAACCTGTCTCACAGAAGATAGTGTTGAGAATAATACACATTGTTATGACATAAGAAACATATTTTAACAATCATCATAAGCAATTCTTATGCTTGGATATTAATGTATGTGTTATATCCAAGCCAAACTAAAAATATATGGGTAAAAAAATATCCTGCTACTAATCATACGAGCCATCTCCCTTATAAGGTTATTTCCTCCCTAAAAGAGTGTATGTAAGTGTGTGTGTGTGTGTGTGTGTGTGTGTGTGTGTGTGTGTGTATGAGAGAGAAATAATGAGAGTTAATTTAAATATATATGTATAAAGCATTTAAATTATTATGCATTTTTACTAAGATAAATGCATGTTTTTGCCTTTTATGCGAATGACTAAGTATCATATTTACTGATGTTTACCTAGTTTTACTCTCAGGACTTTGTAATTCTGGAAACCAGCAATATATTAATATATCTTATAAAACTGCCTGACTTAAGAACTGGGTAAATCGGGTTCACATTATACCTCATCAGAAAGAGATACTGTGGTTTGAAAAAAAAGTTAAATGCCTTTTGGCTACCATGTCCTTTGGTTTTAGCAAATATTAATAATAGCAATATTAATTTTGATCTGGGGACTGTTTTTCATGTTTTACCTTTAATCTCTTTGTCGTTTTTGAACCATCTTATATCAGCTGCAGGTTTACTACCAGATGTTTTACAAGTCAGCTGCATCAAGTCTCCCTCCATGACTGGTGATGAAAATCCACTAATTTGAGGCTTCTCAGGAACACCTGAAATTTAAGCAAATGAGTAAGATGAGTGTCAATCTTCAGGGTTGATTTGTTCCTACCACTATCACTTCCACATGTGAAACTAACCTGGGTGGTTAACTGAAAATAAGTTCAATCAAAAAAAACCAAACTACTATGAAATAAAATAAATGGCTTCATATGTGTATACAGGTGTGTATATATGTGTGTATGCATATACATAAAAGTATATACACAGATATATACACACATGTATACATATACAGTATCAAGAAAGCATTTAAAAATGCATGCATATAGTTCAAAGTAGCTTTTAAAATTAAACTGTAAAATTTTACCCACAAAAATACTCTATGTAAGTCTTAAGAATCATCATTTTACTAGGGTAGAGATTTAGGAAGGTAGATTGCATGAAAGAAAAAAAATCCACAAAACACATTTTTTTACTCTTTAGCCAATTATGATTTAATGATAATATTTTTCATTCCTGATCTCATAATTCTTAATGCTTGAAAAGGATATCATTACCCTCTGCATACTTTGTTCAATAAAAAGAATTTTGAAATCAGAGATTCATCAATAATTGCTAGTTTATTGATTTTCTGATTCTTCTAAAGTAGAAAATGTGTCTTGATGTTGTCTACATAAGAAATGCAATTTTAGTTTTGTGAAGCATACTATTTTTTTTTAATGCTAACCATTATTACTTTTTCTAGCCAAAATTATCCAATTATACATAGGTGAGCTCAATAATAAAATAGTACACACTTCCTGGGCAATAACATTTAGTTGGCTTGGTACACATTTATTAATATTTTTCTTAAGGTTATTCAATAATAAAGGAAGACTGGAACCTTCTTTATTGTTCTATTTAATTCAACTGACAAGAATAAAACATAAGAATGTTGGACAGAACTAATATGAGAATTACATATTAAAACAAGAACAACAAAGACAAATGACAGATCAACATATTTCCCTTAACTGGTTCTTTTTGTTTTGTTTTGTCTTCACCTTCATATCACCTCTTTTCTTTCTTTTTTAATCTATGTCACACCACCATTTAATAAACTGAATCCAGCAACTGTCTATTCTTTGGATCTCAAATTGGCTCTCTACAGAACAATACATTAGCCTTAGGCAGTTGTTATCCAGGAATTCTCCATTTTAGTGGGTATAGTTTGTCTTTAATGGCAAACTTGTGAAGATTTTTATAAAATTGTCCCAGTGGGACTTGCAAAGAAACATATTTCATATCCTATGCACAAAACCAATTCACTAGCTGGATTAACTTTAATATTCCCACCCAAAAGAACAGCATGTGTTAGTCCTTTTAAATGCAACATTGTGCCTTTATCTGTCTAAAAAGGAAGGCAAGCTTGGGGCAAAAAAAAAATCAATCTTTAAATTCCTCTAACTTGTTCAGTACACAGGTGTGTTTCAATGCAGTGCAGCAATTTCAGCTGATTGGGGCACTGACGTCTGTGGAATCACAGAGAGCTCAGAGTTGCAACTTTATTTCCTCAGAATGTCTATGAATGTATTGCTTTTTTGTGTCACTTTAACCTTTGGGAAAATGGTCCAAGATTTAGAGAATAAAAGCACAAAAGAAACTGCAAGCTACATGTACAAGTGACATTATGTGCTTTATTTAGGAATCTAGAAAATATATATGTAAAAGGAGAGAAGACACATGGAAATGTCGGGGTCATTTAAAGGCACTAAAATACACAAAGAGGTCAGGTTTTGAAAGCCACAGGCTAGTAGGAAACACTCTGAATGGGTGACTTATATGATAAAATACAGGAGCACACTATAGGACCCAAGTTGAATGCATGCTCATTATTCTGTCACTTTATAAAAGGATCAGAGTGCACACAATATATGATGATTTGATGCAAAAAAAAAAATTAAGTTGAAAATCAAGAAAACTGGTGTCTACTGATGACTGTGAAACAAAATGGCTGTGTACCTTCTGCCAGTCATTAAATCTTTGTATCTCACACTCACATTTATAAAACCCAGAGAGTGACTAAATGATTTTAAAGTGCTTTTTGTTGTAATGTAACAAAGAAAGGATTAAACTGTCTCTATGACTAGGATCTTCAAAATATATTTTTTGTAGAATCACTTTGCTGTAGCAATATACATCACTCTGGTTTTGTGATTATGTGGTGTTAGCCCCGTGTACTTACCCAGAACAGTGAGATAGGCCTTGGACGTTTTGACAGGCATTGTAAACAAAGAACAGGTGTACTGTCCTTCATCCGAGAGAGACACATCACTGACGCTGATACTCAACTCATGCCAGGAAGCACGGACTAGCTCGATCCTATTGTCTCTTAAAGCTGAAAAGAGAAAATATTGAAAATGTGAAAAACATCAGAAACAGTACTTTAAGACCACATTTTTTTTTTTTAACACAGTACAATAAATATTTTCTTTGGCCATACATCTAAGTCTTATTTTTCGGAACAGTTTAAAGGAAGCTTTAAATACATTGAAATATTTTATCAGATTTTTAAAAAAATCAAAGTAGAATTAGGTGCTTCTTAATGTTCCCTGAAATAACTTTTTAATTAAATGATTACATCTAGCACAATACTTTGAGGTAGATGTTGATGGCGATAAAAATAGCTTTTTTTCCTGCAGTCTTTCAAGGAATGCCAGTGCCAAGAAAAACTATAAACACAACAGGTTCACATCTATGGGCGTAGATACATTTGGTAAACCATGCAGGCCTTCCAAGATAGCAATAAAAATATCGGCATATTAAAAGGTCTCTGCAGTAAAGACACTTTTTGAACTTTATTTAAACCCGAGCTGACATTCAACTGAGAACAACTTGTAAATTATCCGGCTTTTACATTTGCTCTGATCTGTTGGTGCCCCTGCTGTACTGTATGTTAATATATTCTTAGGTTCCAATCATTTTTTTTCCTATCACAGGGCATTTGTTTTCACAGAAAGTCTATTAGCATCTTGCTGAATTATGCTCCTCTTGACTCATTTGGGAAGAAAAAAAAACACATTAAAAAGTGTAACTATTGCCAGGCTCGGTGGTTCAGCCTGTAATCCCGCGCCTTTGGGAGGCTGAGGTGAGTGAACTGCCTGAGCCCGTGGGTTCGAGACCCACCTGGGCAGTGAGACCTCATCTCTACAATAAATCAAAAAATCTGCCGGGAGTGGTAGCCCGTGCCAGTAATTCCGGCTACTCGGAAGGCTGAGGCGGAAGGATCGCCGGAGCCCAGCAGGTCGAGGCTGCGGTGGCCGGGAGCAGCCGCTGCACTCCAGTCTGGGCGACAGAGTGAGACTCCAACTCAAAAAAAAAAAAAGTGTAACTATCATTATGTGCTCCACTAAGTACAGCAGTAAAATCTTAAATTAAGCTAAAATCAAGTAAAGGATCACTCTGCAAAGTAGAAAGAGGAAGGAGGAGTGACCACAGACACCAGGACCTGAGGAACAGCTCAGTGGCTCCCTAAATAGCTGTAAAAGATGATCCAGAACCAACTTCTCCCAACCAGAATCTAGTAAGAGAAGGAGGTCTCCATGGACTCATTTCTATTGCTGATCAAATAGGAGTCCATCAGGAAAACTGGGTCACCAGCAAGGAGAAAAATACTGCAGGAGCCTTGCTGACAACAAGCGATCTCTTTCCCCATGGGGCCTAAAACTTGCCTTTCCATCTAAAGGTAATGAGCAATTAAGCAGCTCTTATAGTGGGAAGAGCCCTCTATCAGTATTGAACCTGGGAGTGATCTCTTTCCCAAGAGCTAGAGAATCTTTTACCCCACCTAGGACATCAGACAGCCTGACCTGAGGAATCTCCTCTGCTCCCCTGGCAGGCACTGGTAGAGTTCAATGCGACACCCAATATAATTAGACAAATACCCCCACAAAGTCTCTAAAAATGAAATTCTCAGAGCCATAGCCCATAATTGTAGGCTAGGACAAATGGGTTAAACCTATATTGGAGGATTGCTTCTCAGAATAGAACGTTTAATTAGGATCCAAAGTCTCCAACTTGATTACCAAAATATCTAGGGAATAATAATAATAATAATAATAATAATAGTACTAGTCATACCATATGCCAGGAAAATCATCACTTGAATGACAAAGAACAATCAACAGATGTGAGCACTAAGATGAATCAGATATTGGAATTATCGGGCAAAAATTTTAAAGCAGCCATCACAACAATACTTTCAAAGAGCAACAAGTGCAAAAATTGAAAACTTCAACAAGTAAAAAACATTACTGAAAATGAGAATTGTGGAAATAAAAATACCATAACCCTTATAAAAACTTCTGGGATTGGCTCAATATTACAGTGGAGATGACAGGATAGAACCAGTGAATTTAAGGACAGAGAACTAGAATTTACCAAATTTGAACAGCTGTGAGAAAATATATTGACAACAAGAAAAAAAAAATAAAATAAAAGAACAGAGCCTCTAGGACCCTAGAAACAATAGCAAAATATCCAACACTGGTATCATTAGAGTCCCAGAAGGAGAGAAGAAAGAGAGTGGAGCTGAATGAGTGCTCAAAGAAATAATGGTTAAACAAGTTATAAATTTGGCAAAAGATATAAATAGACAAAATAAATAAGCTGGTTAAACCCCAAATAGGAAAAACCCAGACACCTACGTAAAGATACATCAAAAGGAAACTTCTCAAAACAAGACAAAGAAAAAATCTTGAAAGAAGCCCAAGAGAATGACGTATTACCTAGAAGAGAACACAAGTTTGAATGACAATAAATTTCTCATTTGAAATCTTGGAGGCTGGAGGAAGTGGTATATTTTTCAAAGGCTGAAAGAAAAGAACTGTCAACCATGAATTCTTATCCTGTTGAACTATCCTTTAGGAGTCAAGGGAAAATAAATATAGTCTTAGGAGAAGGAAAACCAGGACATTTGTTTGTAGCAGATCTGCCTTAAAGAAAAGCTAATGTTCAGAAAAGAAGTTAAAAAAGAAGAAATCTTAATATCAAGAAGAAAGAAAGACGAAAAGAACGAAAATATGGATACATACAATAGATTGCCTTTCTTCTCCTGACTTCTTAAAAATTATGTGACAGTTTAAACAAAAATTACATCAACTGGTGTAATATGCAGCATATATAGAAGAATATTCAAGATAAGTAAATAGTGGGTAGGGCAAACAGACCTAAAGGAAGTAAGGTTTCTGATCTGGCGCGGTAACATACTGCTACTAGTAAATTGTGCTGAGTCCCACATAGATATTGCAATACCCAGAACAACCACGAGGGAAAGCACACAAAGAAATACTCAAAAACTCTCCAAATAAGTTAAGATGGACTCCATTTATGTGTTATTTTGAGATAACAAAATTATAGAGCTGGAGAACAGAGGAGTGGTTGCCAAGGGTTGAGATGGTAGAGCTAAGGGACAGGAGAGCGGGGGATGGGTGTGACTCTAACTGGAGAATGAGGATCCTTGTGGTGCTGCAAACACAAGCTTTTGTCTCTTGACTGTGGTGATGCATACATGAACCTACACATGGAGAAACATTGTCTAAAACTAAACTCATGCACACATATGCACACACACATGCATTCACGTGAACAAATGGATGCATGTAAAACTGCGGAAAGCCAAATAAGATTAATGGACACTATCTGTCAATTTCCTAGTTGTGATGTTGTTTTATTGCTTTATAAGCTGCTACTTAGGTTAAGTGTACATGAGATCTTTCCATATTATTTCTTACAACTACATAGAAATCTATAATAAAAACATAAGTTAAAAATGTAAATGCATATGTGATGAAGTAGGGGGAGTCAAGGCTTAAGAAATCAAGGCTTAAAATTCATGTACACATTTACCAAATGCCATACATTTTAAAATTACCTGTACCTTCCCTATATGCTTCATGAGAGGTAATTATAAAATATATAATGGTTGGGAAAATTCTAAATGTTCATGATTCTAAATATCTTAAGAAAAATCACCCTTCAATATACTCAAATAACAAATACCTAAATGATTGTAGTATCTTTACTACCATTCTTTTTTGGTTCTAATTGCATAGATAGACATACACTTGCAAACATTTTCAAAATGGATTTTATTAAATATGAAAAATAAGGCAGGTCTCATTATGATTGTGGTTGTGACTCCCTTTGAATACAGCACATTTTTTCTTTTTTTTTTTTTTTGAGTTAGGATCTCATTCTGTCGCCCAGACTGGAGCACAGTAGCACAATCACAGCTCACTGCAGCCTCAATCGCTTTGTCTCAGGCTATCTTTCTAGCTCAACCTCCCAAGTAGCTGGGACTACAGGCATATGCCACCATACCTGGCTATTTATTTTGTAGAGACGAGGTCTCACTATGTTGCCCAGGCTTGTCTGGAACTCCTGGGCTCAAGCAATCTTCCCATCTGGACCTCCCGCACGTTAAAAAAAAAAAATCTATTACATATCTCCAACATGTCATGATATATGTGCATAAAAAAAATCTATTACATATCTCCAACATGTCATGATATATGTGCATAAAAAAAATCTATTACATATCTCCAACATGTCATGATATATGTGCATAAAAAAAATCTATTACATATCTCCAACATGTCATGATATATGTGCATAAAAAAATCTATTACATATCTCCAACATGTCATGATATATGTGCCTTGTTCAGTTGTTCAGTTGCCAGAAGAAAACCATGAGATACAAATGTGTTGTTCTCACGACAGGAACTCATGCCATATCAACCACTTTTCAAAGCTATGATTCGTTTATGTAAAATTTATCTTATATAAACATACATATTTATATATTAATATTTTTATAATTTTATTTCTGTATTTAGATATATTAAACTATATGTTTATTGTGTTTATTTCTCATACATTTCTTGTTTTTTTGTTTTTAAAAAGAGGTCACCAAAAGCAAAAACCTCAAGTTCCTGCCATGATACAGTATGGGTAAAACATGTTATCCACCCCCTGTGTTCAATTTCATTTCCCCTAACACATGTTTCACTGACAGAGACAGAGCTTACAATTTTTAGTGAATCCCAACAAAAGGAATTTAACTCTGTTTTGGCCAGGCTATTTTGTTGAAGCTATACAACATCACCAAAGTAAAACTGAAACACTCAGTACATATGAATATACAACTTTCATATTTAAACCATTTTCATGCAGTAAAGCCAAAAATGCTTGATTTGGAATAAAAAGACTTGGCTCTGGTAAAGTCTAGACACTTGTATGAGATCAGGTTTCCAACAGATAATAATCTATGATTCCTTCCATTGTTGACTTATGATGGGAACCCAATGATACCATGTCATATATACAGTGCCTTAAA